ATAATAAAATTATTTTGGATTTATTGGTCTTTTGTGTTTTTTTTATGAATGATGATACTAAAACTTTTATTACAAAAAGGAACGAAGACTGCCAGAAATAGCAATGAAAATGACAGACAAAGGCAAAAAGGTTTATTGTGTTGTTGTAATCATTATTAGAGAAATATTTTTGAGTTCTCATATGAGATCCTAATGCATGTCATGAAACAAGGACAAGTTTATAGGTTAATTCGATAAATAAATATTCAACATAATAGTTTTAAGTTCTTAATTTAAATAATGGTTTAGGCTATTGTATTTATGGTATGCCTAATTCTGTTATTTAAATAATGACTTCATCAAAGTTTTAGATATGATATTATTTCATAACTTTTAATTGATGACCCTCAATCCCTAATTTCTAAACCAAATCCATAAGATCAATTTAATCAAAATAATAATAATCGATAAATCTGATTCATCAAAGTATATAAAATGCACCTAATAGTTGTGAACATAAGCATGTATTATATACATCAGACATGTGCTAGTATTTGTCGTAAATAATACATGTTAGTCAGTTAACAACTTAAGATAGTGAAGTCGATTCCCAATTTATGTTGAAATTTTAAACATTAAATTTACCAATCAATTATGGTTCAATTATATACTGTTGACGAAAGTCATCCTTGAAATGGAAGATAATTCGAAATCAGCTTTGTTTACGAACAAAGTTATAAGGTGTACGACCAAAACAATGTGTAATAAAAAAATAATTTAATGAGAAAACATATAGCTGATTTCGAAAGATTAGTCAATTCAAGTTCTGGATAATGTTTTCTTACTTAAGGTATGCGGTACCCTGTATTTTACCCTGGGTACCGTAGAACTCCCATCTATATATATCGTCACCTTTTCTTTGGCTTTGTTCATATGCTGAATCACTAGCAGCTGCCAACCACGACGTGATTACGAAGTATTGAGAACACGTCTGAGTATGTTGTGAAGATAGTCAAATACCGTGAGCCTATACATCAGCCAGCAACATAAGAAATTTATAAAGGTGGTATCAGAGGCTGGATCCACCAAACCAGATGCAGATCTCAAACCCCGAGGTCACAGAACGAGGGTCCACTGAACTGACGTCCACCGCCCCGGATCTGCCAAACCAGGCTCTGATACCACTTGTCATCACGGGGCCTGCTCAATTAGTACGATATGGTCCGCTTTGGGCCAAGCCCGCACGGTTTTACTCTTGGGTGTCCTCCCCAAAAGGCCTCGTACTAATTCGGCTAGGTGGACTCTAATATACAAGGGTCCCTTCCCTTGTATTACCGATGTGGTACTTGGATTGTCCCATAACAATCCTCCCCTCAAGACAAGGACCACGAACTTCGTGTCCTCACCTCAGCGATTATCTTGATCTGCCAGATGCCTTGTATCGATGGGCTTCTCGATACAAGGACTTTACCAGACGCAGAACTCTCTTTGATCTGCTTCCCAAATGCGGAACTCTCTTTGATCCGCCAAGCCCAAACGTGGATCTCTCCTGGATCCACCAAACCAGATGCAGATCTCAAACCCCGAGGTCACAGAACGAGGGTCCACCGAACTGACGTCCACCGCCCCGGATCTGCCAAACTAGGCTCTGATACCACTTGTCATCACGGGGCCTGCTCAATTAGTACGATATTGTCCGCTTTGGGCCAAGCTCGCACGGTTTTACTCTTGGGTGTCCTCCCCAAAAGGCCTCGTACTAATTGGGCTAGGTGGACTCTAATATACAAGGGTCCCTTCCCTTGTATTACCGATGTGGTACTTGGATTGTCCCATAACAATCCTCCCCTCAAGACAAGGACCACGAACATCGTGTCCTCACCTCAGCGATTATCTTGATCCGCCAGACACCTTGTATCGATGGGCTTCTCGGTACAAGGATTTTCCCATACGCGGAAGTATCTTTGATCCGCCAAACAGACGTGGATCGCACATGGATCCACCAGACAAACGCGGACCTCCCTCGATCCGCCAAACCGGATGTAGCCCAAACGTGGATCTCTCCTGGATCCACCAAACATACGCGAATCACAAACCCTGAGGCCACCGAGGGTCCACCAAACTGACGTCCACTGCCTCAACCGAACCAGGCTCTGATACCACTTGTCATCACGGGGCCTGCTCAATTAGTACGATATTGTCCGCTTTGGGCCAAGCCCGCACGGTTTGACTCTTGGGTGTCCTCCCCAAAAGGCCTCGTACTAATTGGGCTAGGTGGACTCTAATATACAGGGGTCCCTTCCCTTGTATTACCGATGTGGTACTTGGATTGTCCCATAACAATCCTCCCCTCAAGACAAGGACCACGAACATCGTGTCCTCACCTCAGCGATTATCTTGATCCGCCAGACACCTTGTATCGATGGGCTTCTCGGTACAAGGATTTTCCCAGACGCCGAAGTATCTTTGATCCGCCAAACAGACGTGGATCGCACATGGATCCACCAGAAAAACGCGGACCTCCCTCGATCCGCCAAACCAGATGTAGCCCAAACGTGGATCTCTCATGGATCCACCAAACATACGCGAATCACAAACCCTGAGGCCCACCGAGGGTCCACCAAACTGACGTCCACTGCCTCAACCGAACCAGGCTCTGATACCACTTGTCATCACCGGGCCTGCTCAATTAGTACGATATTGTCCGCTTTGGGCCAAGCCCGCACGGTTTTACTCTTGGGTGTCCTCCCCAAAAGGCCTCGTACTAATTGGGCTAGGTGGACTCTAATATACAAGGGTCCCTTCCCTTGTATTACCGATGTGGTACTTGGATTGTCCCATAACAGAGAGCATGGTGAAGGATTAGGGCAGCTGAGGCATGCGGTATTTATAGACCTTGCTCGGAAGTATTATATCAAGAGCTTACAACCAAAGTATCTACTGCTAGTTTTTGACGTGCCGAGTGTTATTTATGTATTCTGGACGTGAGTAATAATATAAGAACTCTGTCTTATGCTGTGGACTAGGCTCAACGTTAATCGTTGAGAAAACCACGTAAATCTTGTGTTCTGTGTTCATGCTTTTACCTATTCGATCGTGACTTTGACACTGAGATTATTTCTCTGTTTTCATAACCGGATCGGAGGTTGAACCGAAAAAGTTAGTTGTTTAGAGTTCAGTGGTTAACCGTTATAAAATCGTTGGTGGACCGTTGATATAAACAATTTAAGAATGAATTTATCATTGACTATAAACAATTTCAAATTCATATTATCACCAAAATATCTAATAAGTCATTCAAATTATCTCACAAAATAAATCATATTTTTTTTAATTCAAATTAAAAATTGCGGTGGCAATCGGTAGTGGACAACGTAAAGTCGACAACATGATTGGAATGAGAAGAGGAAGTATATATAAAATTAATAATTATGGTATGATGGTATTAGTTTATCTTAAAGTTATTTTTTTAAGTTCGTTGAAATAGTGAACTAGTGGATCAGTTAAACCGTAGTTGTTCATATGATTTTATGTTAAACCCTGAAAAACCTTTTGGTCCATAAATAACCATCTAAGCAATGAACCTGACCACTAATCGTAACTAATTTGACGATTCTACTAGCCCGACCGTTGATTCGGTTTGATTCTTATAACAATGAATTATTTGTAATTCCAATCATCATAGCCATGAGAAGAGAGAGGAAGAAAAAAAGAAGAAAAAAACACATCTGAGTTTGTTGTGAGCTCATGTTGATCTCTTATTTTACTTCTCTTTTTAATTTTTGGTTTTTTTGGTTTGTTTTTAGAGCTGAAGTTAGTCAAATACTGTTGGCTTATTTGTTTTGTTACGAATGTGTAGATAAGAAATTGGTCAAGGTGACATGATTGATTTGATTCTGTTTGGTGAACATATAAATCGCCTTGGTGACCCGGCCCGATCCATTGAACCATTGAATTCAAGTCATAACTCATAAATGGGGTTTCAGCGAGATACAAGAATTGAAAGGTCTCTGGGTTGAAAGCGTTCTAACCTTGGATGACGTATTATTTTGAAACGAAATTATATCGTTTATGTGATTCGTTAACCTCTTAGCGGTTGATCATATATTTGTTATTTGTTAAGTTCCAACAGGGTATATTAGTTCGTGTTATCCAAAAGATCAAAAGTATAAATCTCATACAGCTTTAGAAGTTCTTTCAGAAGAAATCTAACTTATAAATTTGAAACTTGCACATACTTATAATATAATATCGTTAAACAATTATGAATATTACATGTTGTAAATATTTCAACACAAAACCCTCGGTCAAATGCTCCGATGTCAAGTTAAGAACCAATTGATTTCAATATTAGTATAAATAGTTGGGAGATGTACAAAATAGTACAATCTTATATTACTTTTTCTTACAATATTATGGTGATAATATTTACGGAGGTTTAATCTAATACATTTAGCCTAATTTTGTCAAGTATGTGTTGATATGAACGGATTATCTACCGTCGACTGGAAGTTGCGAGTGTCTCGTTTATACACGGTGTATGGACTTATACACGTTTGAGTTTCTGTTCTACGCTTGGTCTATAATTATATTTTTTACCATATTGGATTAGGGTTAGACCGTATGGAGATTTTCTATATATACTCTTCTCAATCCTTCTATAATTTGTATCTCCTCAAATATAGTGAATCTTGCTCTTTTTGGCTCGTGAACTAGCTCATACACATTATATTGTGTTAGTAAATAACGTAATATGTGTTATTTACTTGTTCGAACACAATATATGCATTGGTAAATAATAAATGCATGTGTTCGAAGACAATATATATTCGTACATGTTCGAAGACCATGACATGACACGGAGACTGCGACCAGCCAGCCAGATCCATTGTATTATATTACGTAAACGGATCCTCCATGCATCAATCCTTTCATGTTCCCTTACAACAATTCAAAGAGTTGTGTAGTAGCACTGCGCCCTTGGCTATATATAGTCACGGACTCAGAAGCATTGAATCACACAGCCTATACAAAGCTAATTAATTGTTTCTTCCCACGCTTCAATTAATTTCCACAGCAAAAAAAAAAAAAAAAAAAAAAAAAGCTAGCTAGAAACTTACCTTTACAATGGAGGGGAAACGCTTGCAAGGCAAGGTAGCGGTGATCACCGGCGGAGCCATGGGGCTGGGAGCCGCCGCGGCCAGGCTCTTCTCCCAACACGGCGCCAAAGTCCTGATAGCCGACATCCAGCCATCGGAACTCGGTCACACTCTCTGCAAGGAGATCGAATCCGAGTCCGGCCAGCCCGTGACCTACGTCCAATGCGACGTGACGAGCGACACCGACATGCAAAACGCGGTGGACACTGCCGTTTCGATGCACGGGAAGCTGGACATCATGTACAGCAACGCCGGGATATCGGGGCAGAAGATCACCCCACACGACCTCCGCATCTCCTCCCTCACACCCGAAGTCTTCAGGAAGGTGTTCGACGTCAACGTCTACGGATCCTTCCTGGCCGCAAAGCACGCGGCCAGGGTGATGGAGAAGAGCGGTAATGGTGGGGCCATCCTCCTGACTGGCAGTGCCGCCACTGCCAGCTATGGGATGGCCCCGCACGCCTACACGGCATCCAAGCACGCCGTGGTGGGGCTGACGAAGAATTTGTGCGTGGAGCTGGGGCATTTCGGGATCCGGGTCAACTGCATCTCGCCGTTCGGGGTGCCGACGCCGCTGAGCATGGACATCACCGGTATGGACGAGGCGGCGTTCGAGGAGGCGTTCAAGGCCAAAGGGAACCTCAAGGGTGTTGTGTTGAGGGCGGAGGATGTCGCGAAGGCGGCGTTGAATCTTGTGAGTGACGATTCCAAGTACGTCAGTGGGATCAATCTTCTGGTCGACGGCGGTCATTCCCTCATGAGCGCTTGATTAATAACAGTACGTACTTGCATGCATGCATGTGAAGAATTTGGTTCTCGTTGGGGGCTGAGATGGTTGAATTGGGAGGTTTTAATAATGTATTAATTTACGCATTTATTTGAGAGTTAAATTGTATGCGAGCCCTTCCGGGTTTAGCGACGAGGTCTGCCTTGTTTCTTTTATCAGTAGTCTGTATTATGCCCAAAGCTTCTATATCCACCATTTTTATTCAAAAATATATTAAAGTGTCATTCTGAATATCACAATTATTCTCATTTTCGTGTAACAAAATTCAATATAATACATCTCCATAACCATAACTATACACTTTGTGACAATAATAACCAACTTTTGAAAAATGCATTAATATAGCCACATTTTTTAAATTACTTTGACAAATTTAGCCATTTCCGTTAAATATTTTAACACCGTCAAGAACACTGTTAAAAATATTAACTGCAAGTTGACTTTGACGCCACATCAGCGCCAGATCCTCATATAATTGCCACTTCAAAAAATAAAAAAGGGTAATATCTATGTTTTATCCAAACCTTTTTTAGATTTTTTTATATCATCCAAACCTTTTGAAATACTAAGAACTAGCCAAATGTTAACTTTCAGTTAGCAATTTTGTTAATATTATTGACTTGGCAACATGATATTGACTTGGAGTGTCCATGATATTGACTTGGAAAAGACACATGAAGATCAACATTCCAAAATTTTAGTATTTTAACTAAGATAAGAGTTATAAAATTATTAACGATAACGTAAAAATGGCTAATATTTTGATGCATTATGAAAGATTTGGCTAATTAATAACATTTCAATAGGTTTGGATAATATAAAAGAATCAGAAAAAGATTTGGATAAAAAATAGACATTACCCAAATAAAAATAAAAAACATTTTTTTCTAAACGAATACAACAATTCCTTATTTGCTTTCCTTCCCTCTTCCTTTCTTCTCCCTCTCTCTCATATCTCCGGCCATATCTACGATGCAGCCCCACCGTTGTCATTTGTTCTTCTCATAGAAGTCGTCCGCCTCAGCTACCACAACCGTTGCTATACCACCAACGCCGATGTACACATTCTCTGAGCCCGACCAAGGCGCCGGAATCGGCCTCGGCTACTCCGGTCCTCCTTCAATTTCTTTTCCCCGATAACCTTTAATCTTCCAGTGCGTCCGATATCCACCTCTATCCTCCAATACCTCCGCAAATCTCTCCCTCCCGCTCTCCTTGTGCCGCCTTAGCCGAAGGAGGCACAATAGGACTACAACGTCCTCTACTTCTCAGTTGACGAGAAGGAGCGAAAGGAGCAAGTAGCATCGAAGGCAGCTGGCGACGAGAGGAAGCAGGGGAAGGTCGACGCTGTCGTCAGCCTTATTCAAAGACGACGGGTGACCATTCCAAATGTCTTGATGGTGGCGAATTTTGAAATCCCCAATCTTGGAACCCTAAGCTTTATGTCGATAAATCCCTCATCTGCCAATCAGAATCGCTTCGATTGTGTCTATGGTTCGAGTTAGCGTAACGATCGCTGAAAAATTGACCTCCGACGGTAGTGCCGGTCTCCCGAGCTTTTCACTCCCTCCCCGACGGCGGGGCCGGTCTCCCGAGCATATTAATTTACCAACTCCCCATCCCCCACGGTGAGTTGTGCAGCGGCTTGGGTTCAACGAAAAGAGATACATGTTCGTGGTGCTAAGAAGGGTTAACGGCGGCGGTGTCGGGGATTTTATTTCCTGGAGCTAGAGGGCAGGGAAGGTTTCCAACGAGGGGCGATGGAAGGGGTACAGAGAGAGTAGGAGGAAGGTGAAAACGTGTGTGGAGTGATGATGCTTTTTAATTTTGATATTTAATTTAATTAAAAAAGAAGTACAATATATGAATAGGCAACTTAATGCAAAAGGTTGCCATGTCACCAAAACAGTTAGTCCAATCAGCATACTGTTAAAGTTATCGACGGAATGGATATTTTAGTGTATTTCTTAAAAATTGGCTATTATTGTCACAAAGTGATATTTTTGGCTATACAAGTGTATTTTGCCAATATTATAACATAGTATCAAAGTTGACAAATACATGACGATTTTTAAGCTCACGCAATTTGACTAAAACACCGTCAATCCGGTCACCTGACTATTTTCTTATGTTGACTGTCTCTTTCTGTTTCTTTTACTTTTCTTACACCTGTATTCCACAAGGTATCTATTTATAGTGAATTTCAATCCGTCATTGAGAAGTCTTTATAAAAAAAAAAAATCGTCATTAATTGAGAAGCTTCTACGTACAGAACATACGTAGCATTGTAGCAAGATATACATATATTGATTATTATGGCTATAAGCTTATCTCTGTATTAATTGTAGCTCTTGTCGATCAGCTCTGCCGACTTGGAGCAGCCGCAGCTGGTTTTGTTCGTTTGCTGAACACGGTGTTAGGTTAGGTTAGAGGTGGTTGATCAGTAAGCTCTGGCAACGAAAAATAAGCACTGGACTTTATGTTTGTGATGCGGTAAGACAATTTCTTATCACTAAGTTATCCTACCTATCAAATAACAATTCATTGACTTTTCTCTATCCGAAAACGAGACCTTTCGAAAGGTTTGAAAAACTATAAAAGTACATAAGATGAATTATCGTGCAAGTTTTCAATTATATTGATATAGTCGAAGACGAAAAACACATGGAACAAATCGACGGACTCACAAAATACACTTATTTGAAATACATCCTCAACCTACACACATGCTAGCTAAACTAAGAAATACAAAAGATAAAAAAGCAAACTTCGGCCGTTCGACAGTGGATTCCAAAATCACATTTATTTTCTATTATTAAGGCCCCTCGATCTTCCGCTGTGTGTCCGTACGTACGTCCATCAATCCGTCAGTCGACGCTAGCTTCAAGTGTTGTGTTTTGCTGCTCCGAGAATTTCAATACCCCTGGCCGCTGGATTTAGCCGAACTGAGAAGAGGAACCCTGCAGGTTGCCCGCCTGCTGTGGTTCTTCTTCACCAAAACTAGGTAGAGTGGGTCGTGAGAGCTAAGCTGAAACAGCTGTGTTGCAATAAAGGCAGCAATACTGGCAAGAGATAAACAGAAGAGAATTCGAATGTTATTAATAAGATTTCAGTTTGTTTCAACGGCGGGCGGTTATGAATGAGATGAGAAGTTTACCCTACCCGCCAGGAAGTATCAATACAGCTATCCACATGGAAGCGCTTAACCAACTTGTTTCCTTGTAGGCAACCCACACCTGCATGCAGGATTACAATTGAGTTGGAGAAAAATGCATGCATCAGGCAAAGCTAGCTAGCTAGAGTGAAGTATGTAAAAATAACTCTAACAGGCCGGAACTTAAAATGAATTGATCATTTACGTACGGAAAGAGCGATGAAGTTAGCACACATGTCGATCAGGTTTGCAGCCATCGCCCTGGTAATTAAATAAATAGATCGAATCAGAAATTGCAACGTGAGAGCTAGCTAGACATGCATGGATATATATATAATTCAGTCATCAAGGTAGGTAGCTAGAAACTTACGGAGTCAAGATCTCTTTACGGAACGGAGAGCCTTGAGCCACAACAGACCAAATCAGGGTTGCTATCATCACGCCAACCAAACTTGTGAAAACAATGCGTGCAGCGACGACTAATAGTACTGGAGATCGCTGCTGCTTCCCCTCTTGTACCTCGTCGCTCCTGAAATTAGAGGAGTAATTAAGTCGATAAACTTTGGTTACTCGATCGATCGATTGATGGATCACTCTCACGCGACCTGAAGGATGTACGAATTCGAACAAATTAACGTACAAGATGGATACATACTTGTGCTCGGGTCGCAATAGGGCATGATAGATAGGGTCTTCTGCAGCTTCTTGGGGTGACAACTTGAGGAACTGAACAAAGGTAAAGGTACCAGCCCCCATGCTGCATACATATACATGTAGAGGAATGATGAACATGCATGGAGATCGATCGAGAAACAACAATTACTCTTAATTAAGGACTTCAACAACCCAAGTCATTAATAATAATTATAACTTAAATCAATTAATTAGTACAGCACCTAGCTAGGTTAGGTTAAAAGTAGTTAATTGTAATTAATCCTTAATTATATGTGTTAATTACCTATTACTACCGAGATAGGGTTAGGGCGGCCGGATATATATACACGTAGCATAGCCGTTAATTGTAACCTAAGCATTCTCTGATAATACGATTGACTCTGAGAGGTTGGTCCTTTTGGTGGATTAGTCTCAACGATACTCGTTGAGGATACCAAGTAAATCTCGTGTGTTCAGTTATTGATTGTGTTTGACAGGTAGGTGAACTAATTACCTGCCAGTGCATATCAGCAGAAGTATCCAAACCGGGACCAACAGCAAGTTGGATTCCTTGTACAAAACCCAGAGCTGAAAAGAAAAGAGAGAGAGCTCAGTAAGGCTACTATTAGCTAGCAATTACCGCCAAGGGGAGTTAATTAAGCATGAATCTAATTCTTACCGCGAAGGGGAAAACGTAAATGTAGAAATCAACAAAAAAGCCAGCCATCCATCTGCATTTAATTCATTTGCAAAAGCGCGCCATTGAATGAGTTTAGCTACAGATTTAATGAAAGAGAATTCGATCGATCGGCAAGATATATAATATAGGTATGTTGCTTAAGTGAAGAGCGGATGGTGAGTAGAGTAGTTACGGGGTAAAAAAATCCTGGACGGTGAGGCCATCGGTGCACATCACGTAGATCCAAGCGCCGAGGACGAAGCAGACCATAGACGGGAAAAGAGTCCTTAAGCCGGCCGCCATGAGTGCCATCTTAATTACGTTGAAATTCTGGCAGGATCGGAGACTAGATCTCTTGTCTTGTGGTGTCGCCATTAGAGCGAGCGAGCAAAGCTTCTTTTAAATGGCGTGGGAGAGTCCAACCATGAAAGTCAACTTCTGCTACCCCGGCCAACCCAAAAAAGTCTACTTCTGCTACCCATTTTGTATACTATAATTTCTAGCAGACAACTTGTTTTTCTAATTCTAAACAAGGAATCTGATCTGACAGCAATGATAATAACTATATTATACCACATGTAAGCTATGACAATTTCTTCATTTAATAAGTAAATATTGTTGTCTACTTCTGCCACCCCACCCAAAAAAGTCTACTTATACTACCCATCTCGTATGCATACAACTCGTTTGACATACCGCCATCATTCTTAATACTACTCTTCTAAATAGGGAATCTCACAGCAGTTCATAAACCAATGCAAATCGGAAACACAAAATTTTTAACTTCTTCTCTTTTTTCCCATGAACTCCTCTTTCTTTTCAAAATATTTTAAAAAATTCTCAATTTTTACTCTAGAATGACACCAAATAGCTTTCACCATCTATATATCATCATTTGAGTGTTTGGAATTCAAAACTCCAGCGAATTAAAAATCAAAAGTCACGTTGTGACTTTCAAGTTTCATGGTGTGAGTTGGTGTGAGTTTGCAAAAGGCAGCCTATCAATTACTGACTTTAGGGATCCAACGCCACATCACAAACATGAAAGCAAATGCATCTCATGATTGTTTTATCCTACGAGGCTACGACGCCACATTTTTCCCTTCACTTTTTTTTGGGTTCCGTTTCACACTCCCGAGTAATTAAACCAAACTAAAAAAATTGATTCCCTAAATAGTCAGTTGCATGTGGTACTGCTCTATGTTCAGCCCACTCATCCTGACGAAAATGCAATAAAAAAAAAATTGGGTGCATTTCTGATCCCAACTGAGTTATGACATGTGATAATTTCAAACTTATTTAAGCTATATAATAGGAGAACAACATAATTCATATTTATTTCTGAGTATGCTAATATGTTATATTGCACCAGAAAATATTTTTGTAATTGCATCACTTACAATGTACGGATTATGTAAAAACATAATGGACAAAAAAATTATGTGACTTCCTCATTCGACATAAATTACGATAGCTCTCATGAGAATTAATAATCTTATTAGTTTGTGTTTGGTTAACCCTTACCTTTATATGATGCAAACTATATATAGCTTATCTCAAATACTCGTACAAATGAGAAATTAACTTAACATCCTCAAATACACATATTAACATTAACAAGTAACATCACATAAGGAAACTTTTTGTATAATATTTATGCATGATTGTGATCAGTCAAAAGGAGGCGGCGGCAGCATATATATGTGGGCTAGCAACATAATTGATGTATAATTGGTCAACGAGTTCCAGCTCCATATATTGTTATGCTACAGCCACATGAACATTATACAATGTATTAAACACCATATATGAAGATACATATAAACAAATGAGGAAGGGAGGCGAGTGGTATAAATAAATGATGCACCGAGCTAGCTAGCCAGCCAGATCTCGATCTATCCCATCATCAGTCATCACTTGCTAGCTAGAATCAATCGAGATTGCAAGTAGCCAAGTAACTATAATGGAAGATCATAAATTTCTAGAAGTTGGTTTGCAATCTGTTCCAAAGCATTGGTCCTTGGCCACCCCAACAACACTACTGCTAGTAGTGATCATATTCACCACCTTCCTCCTCAAAAGTTCACCCAAAAAAAAGACCAAGTCTTCGCCGTCCGCACGGCCGCCCCCAGGCCCATGGAAGCTGCCGGTGATCGGAAACCTACACCAGATGGCGGTTGGGTCGCCGCTCACGCATCACCGCCTCCGGGACCTGGCCAAGCAGTATGGGCCTCTCATGCAGCTCAAGCTCGGCGAACTCTCCGCCGTCGTCGTCTCCTCCCCAGAATGGGCCAAGCAGTTCATGCAGACCCACGACCTAAACTTCGCCAGCAGGCCCTTCCTCCTCGCCGCCAGCATCATATTTTACGACGGCCGGGACATCGCCTTCGCCCCTCACGGCGACTACTGGAGGAAGATGAGGAAGGTTGTTTCCATGGAGTTGCTGGGAGCCAGGTACGTTATTGAATTGGATTAGATTGTTGTTGAAAGATAGATCATAAAATATATGATATACCGTTTGTTGGTATGAGTTAAATCGGACTATCTGACTACGATTGAAAGTATTATAAATACTTATGATATTTATCTGTAATCCGTATCTCCTTAAAATATAGTAAAATTGTCTCTCTCCTATATATCCGTAGACTAGTTAGGATGTGTGTATCTTGTTGGTTTAATGCTTTCATTTTCTTACTCCGCTGATGCTATGATTTCTAGATCCGTAGAAACAGTCGTGACATCAACTAACTTAATTGTTCCCATGCATGCACAAACTCTACGTACGTACACCTGGCCAGGCGCGTGAAGCTGTTTCGGCCCATAATGGAGCGAGAAGTGAAGAAGCTAGTCGAATCAATCTCAGCAGGCGGCACGGCGGCGCCGGTGAACATGAGTCGGATGTTCGTCTCGCTGGGGACAACGGTCACATCTTGCGTGGCCTTCGGGAAGGCACGGAAAGACGACCACCAAGTGGAGCTGCTGTTGCCCTTGATAGACCAAATTATGGAGACGCTGGGAGGCTTCAGCCTGGTGGACCTCTTTCCTTCCAGTAAGCTCGTGGGCCTGCTCACGGGGGCCCATTCCAGCCTCAGGAAGGTCCACGCGGCCGTCGATGTCATCCTCGAAGCCATAATCAGCGACCACGTTGCACGAAGGTCCACATCATCATCGGCTACGTATTCGAAGAAAGACGGCGACGGTGAGGATGTTGTGGACGTTCTCCTGAATATCAAAGAGAACAACGACCTCGGAATCCCTTTCACCAACGAGGAGATCAAAGCTCTCATCCTCGTAAGTCCGATATACTGCACGTGCACTTTTGTCACATACAATTCATTTTGAGATCCATTTACAAACAGTAACGCTTATGAGATTCAATTCATTACCTTATGCAGCAAATATTCCTCGGTGGGACTGACACGTGGACCGTGGCAGTGGAATGGGCAATGTCGGAGCTAATGAAGAACCCATGGGTTATGAAGAAAGCACAAGAAGAGGTGCGGCAAGTGTTTAACTCCAAAGAAAAATTAGGAGCTGCAAATGATCAAGCGTGGATGGATCAACTGCCTTATCTACAGCTAGTTGTGAAAGAAACTTTCAGGCTGCATCCTCCCGGTCCTTTACTAGTTCCAAGGGAGAGTCGAGAAACGGTTGAGATCGATGGGTATCAGATACCGGCTACCACCAAGGTCATCATCAACGCTTGGGCCATCGGTCGAGATCCTCTTTACTGGAATGAACCCGAAACTTTCCGCCCAGAAAGATTCCTCGATAGCTCCGTGGACTTCAAGGGGATGGATTTCCAGCTCATCCCTTTTGGAGCTGGACGAAGAGCGTGTCCGGGCATACACTATGGGATCTCCATCATCAATATCGTCCTCGCGAATTTGCTTTATCATTTCGACTGGGAGCTTCCTGACGGGATTACCCACCAAGACTTCGACATGTCCGAGAAATTTGGCGTGGAGGTGACAAGGAAGAACGACCTGCTCCTCGTTCCCGTTCCATACCACCCCAACCAGAATAATTAGTAGCTATCACGAATTAGCCTACCGATTATGATATTCCGCCTTGATTAACTTACCTTTGCCTTCTCCGTGCGTCTACTTTGTTTGTCTTGTCTTTTGTTTTTTCTTTTCCCCATATGAATAAGTGAAGATCTATATGAATAGATTTCTTAATTGAATGGAATCTGCTCCTCTCTTGAGCTAGTACATGAAGTGAAGACTAGCTATCTGTATTTACATGTGCGTTTGCAATAAAGAAGAAGAAACAATCACATGTAAATACACAATTTATATATAGATGAGCTTTCTTATTCGGCATATTTCGGTACCCGATCTGATAATACTGACAATCGTCTTAACAATTCCAAAGCTAGGGATTATTACCCATATCTATAATAATAGCTAGTGGGGAGACAGATGGGTTGTTGGGCAGCTCTTAATTACTAATTAAACTAGCAAAGTGCTATTTATATAAATATATAGAAGTATGGTTGATGATCATGTGCATATATATTATTTGTTTCTAAAACACAGCACATTATTTTGACAATCTAATTCGTTTTAAAATGATTATAAGCAGTGTGATTCTAAAAAAAAATATATCATAATTTATAACATTTCATTCTAATTATGAACAAGAAGATAGACGAATGAACCTGTACATGAATTATGTAAAACTTACATGTATTGTTACCATTTATGAAGTTGGCTAGATATACCATTATTCTGACAAATTTATTTTGAAATATGTTACTATCGACTAATTGAATAGAGCATAAATATTTATATATGAATTTTACAATACTTTGTATTAATATTTTCACAAACAAGGGCATGGTCTAACGGTAATACCACATGCCCTTGATCATTTATGCAGGCATCTTCAAACTATAGGAGCTAACCGTTTATATATTTCCTGTACGTGCTAATGTTGATTTGAGACAAGTTTCTAAATTCAAGGATGCAGTTGATCTTTTGCATTCGGTTGACCGATTAGCGGTTTCGAGTTCGATCAAGTGATAAGGGATGAGGTTTGGTCAAAACCAGCTCTTTTGTGACCTTCTGGCTTTGATGAGTTTTTGTAGTAGAATTAGAAATGCACATCCCATTTCATCCTAAAAATCAATGATATAGCTAGCAGAAACAGGAGCAAGATGTTGCCGCGATCTTGCTTTACTTACTAGTCAGTCAACCGGATACTTCGCCGGCGTAGATCCGACGGTGGCAATAGGAGACTTCCCCAACGGTCGGCTTATTTTCTCGTTTCCGGTCGGTGCTCTTTTTTTAATTGATTTTAGATTATATTGTTGAACCCATGTTATTCACAACTTAAAAACACAATCACGTATATTAAAAACTATACTGTATTTTACTGTGCACCAAATTCATCTATCTATACATATATGCCACAATGCATCTATTTAATCCTTTGCAACTTTCATAAGACACGGGAAATCCAATATTTATTAGTTGTACACTGGTGCTACAAATTTGATCTCATAGGATAAAAAGAAAGTGATGCAGAATTAATTGGAGCAAGTTCCAGGCAGCTGCTAATTAATTACTAGCTAGGCGCTCCTCAAATTGTAGCCACCGTCGACGACGAGGTTCAACCCACTCACAAACTGCGACTCATCGCTGGCGAGGTAGAGAGCCGCCTCGGCGATGTCCTTCTCGTCCAGCAGCGGACCTTTCAACGCCGACTTCTGAGCATAGAACTCCTGAACCCCCTTCCGGTCCAACCCGAGCGCCTTCATGGCCATCGGAGTCGGGACGGCGGCGGGAGAAACAGCGTTGACTCGGATCCCGTACTGCCCCAGCTCCACGCACAGGTTCTTCACCAG